CTGAGCCCACCAATGAGCTCGGGAGTTTGGGGCTTTTTGGTCTTTTTTGTTGGTTGGTAGTGTGTTGTGTTGGTTTGTTTTTTTTTTTTTAAAGCTTACTTGGGGTTGGGTTGGGTTTCAGTGGCAGACTGAGAAGAACCTGTGTGTTTTGTGGGACTCTCTATTTGTAATCCATGGAAGAAGAAACCTGTGTTCGGCTGGTGTTCTTCAGGACAACAAGCAGCGATGGTGATTTTAAAGCTGAAGCCTGTTGCACAATATTATGCTAGTGGTACAGGCGTACACTCCCATCTAAGTTACCCTCTGTTCTATGAATATGTAAACTGCAAAGAAGGAGAGAGCAGCTTTTAATCTGTTTAGCATCTCCTAACAGTTTTGAGGTGATTGATCCCCCTTTGCATTTTTAAAATGCATAAAGTGTCAGTTTAGGAAGTCTGGAGAGTTAAGGTCTGCTGCTAGAAATGTGTCTCATATTTGATGCTGCTCTGAGCAAATTTCACCAAATTTTGCAAAGACGTTGTATTTTCCAGTGGCCTATATGTGTGGTAGGGCTTCCACATCATTAATGGCTTCTGCAAATAGCATTTCTTTTCCATCTTTTGCTGTGTCCTGGTCTCTAATACAGGCAAAACTGGACGTTTTTTTTTTTTGTTAAACAAAAGTTACAGTAGGCACAAAGATACTTACTTTTTCACAGTTAGGCAGGATCACACAGAGGTGTCTTAAAATATTCTTTAAAACAGGATTAGCAGTCATATAAAACAAATGTTACATCTACAATAGTTTCTGACTGTTGTTCTAAGTAGGTAGATTCCTGGCTTATTTCCTGAAGGTGCATTACTGACCCATGTGTATTGTAGGTGTTAACTAAGTTTTCTTTGGTTCTCACAAATGTTTGTATATTTAGCCTCACAGCTGAAACATTGTGGTCTGAAATCTTTTAATGAACATGGAAATGGTGCGGAAATGAGCTTGTGCTATAAATGCTGCTGATAGATGGGGCAAAAGTTTGTCCAAGAATTGGGCGGTGGGAGGCCACACAAAAAACTCCACGCAAACCAAACAAAAAAAAAAACCAACAACCCAACCCTTAAAATTCTTTATATTTAATGTTTTATTATATCACTGATTCTAAATTTAGGAAGGCTGTGCTTGCACTATAATTATAGAAAATGTGACAGCAATTGTACTGCTTCCAACAGGTAACATTCCAGGCTTGCAGCATTTCTGAAGCAAGGTATCTCTATGATCAGCTGGCCACGATCTGTCCCATTGTGGTAAGTAATGAACTTCTGTCACATCAGCTATTCGTTGTGTGAAAGCCACTACATGGTTAAAAAAAAAAAAAAATCAAATTTAAAAAACCAAACTTGAATGCTACTCACAAATTTGGTACTCTGGAAGAAGTCAGTCTCTTGCTAGATTGTCACATGAGCAGTGTGATTTATTTAATGTCCAGATGACACCGCAAAACAGATGATGTCTGTTTCTTCTCTCTGCCCTCCTTTCCATGTGAACGAGACTCTTGATAAGTAGTTCTAGAAATAAATTTGGGGCAGTTTTTTGTGAAAACAAGACAAACTCACTCCTTAATTTTTAATTTTTCAGCTTTAGTCTGACAGAGGGTTTCAGCTTAAGTTGTTTAAATCTGTCCCTTTTGTAAGCACATGGTCATAAACAGGTGTTTATAACAGGTGTTATAAAAATAAAATAGTTGTCTGGTCTAGGTGATGAGCAGATCCTTCTCTGAGTGAGGTACGTTCCAGCTGTTTTGCTAAGGTGCTTAGTCAAACAAAAATAAACAAAAAGATTGCCAGATGGACTTCCAGAGTTTGGAAGTGTGTGAGCAGAATACTTGCTGATTTGTTACAAAGTTGCTTCTGCCTATATCATATTTGTGTTCCTTAAATGCTGATCTGTAGAGGTAATAAATCTGGAGAGTGTCCGGTGCCGCTTCAGTAATGCTAACTATTCATCTAGGCATTTTCTGGAGATAGCAGTTGAGAGATTTGTGGTTGTACTTTGTAATGTACTTTGGCTGTACATTAAACTGAAGTATATACTTCAGTTACTTCTGGACCAGCAAGTTTCCTTTTCCAGTGGGGTTGTGTTTTGCTTTTGGTTCCTTGGCTTGTCCTTTCATATCATGCTGGTTTATTTTAGATGGCGTTGAGTGCTGCATCTCCATTCTACAGAGGCTATGTGTCTGATATTGACTGTCGCTGGGGAGTAATCTCTGCATCTGTAGATGATCGAACACGAGAAGAGAGAGGCCTAGAGGTAAGTAATGTTAGGTAATAGATGTCTGTGTTTTTTCAGGCAAAAAAGTTAAATATCCTTTAGTGTCAAATTCTCTTTGTGCTCATCAGAATCCCTAACAAGGGAACGTGGCAGTCTTTGTGGTAAATATAGGAGAGGTGGTATAAACATTCGCCTTGGTTGTACGGTTTACATTAGCAAATATATATTTTTAGTTAGGTATGGAATCCCATTAGAACTCCACTTACGCCTCCACCACTTGCTAAAAAGTCCCCCTGTGATGAAACTTCCCAGTCTGGGCTTGAGCCCAAAATGCAAAAGGCAGGTGCTGCTGAGTAATCCAGTATTATAAACTAGAACTATGTGAAAAGAGCCAGTTGTCAGAACTTGAACTTAAGCAATTTCTCTAACCAGGAGTTGGCATTCAAGGCACTTACAAAATTATAGACAATAAAAAAAAAATCTAAAAAATCTACTTGAAATATTTCTTGAACTACCCATTTTAAAAGCATATGTAACAATGTGCACATAGTGAAACTATTGGTATGTGTTGCAACAGGTATAATAACACTTTCCAGGTACTTGGGGTAATGGTTATGTTACACTAGGAAAATGTTTCCACTTTTAGAGAATTCTAGTCAATGTGTAATGACTTTTTTCACTCAGATACATACATCTGCAAACAGAATAGTCATAATTGCAGGATCGCTTTCTATTAAGCCTATTTAAGACTCGTGCTTTGAATAATTTTAATTGAGGCTGTAGGGTTTTTTTAAACAGGTTATAATTCTCACATAAGTGTCATTAGTGAGCAAAACTTAGGTAACTTTGTTAACAAGCTGTTAAAATATTGTATTCTTAAATTATATAGCCACTGAAGAACAACCATTATAGAATCAGTAAATCCAGATATGATTCCATAGACAGTTATCTATCTGAATGTGGTGAGAAATACAATGACATTGATTTGACAATAGACAAAGATATCTACGAGCGCCTAATAAAGGAAGGTAAGTGTTTGCTTCATTACGAGCAGGTTAAGAATTATGCTTGCAGTGTGTGGGAATATTTTACGTTTTCGTTCTTGTTTGTTTCAATCATTGTACATCGCTCAGAGTGACTCCTACTCAGGAAGTATCTGTGTAGCGTGGTCTTGAGAATTTTTTTAGAAGTATTCATTTGTAACAGAAACTGTCCCTAATTCCAGCTTGAGAAGCTCAGTGTTTGATGCATTAATGTTTTATCTTTATGGAGAGAGGAGAACTGATTTAGGGAAGATGGCACAGAGGTGCATCAGAAAACAGGAAGAAAGGCAGCCACACCAATATTCAGCTGCCATTTCCAAACAAGAACCTGTTCTTTTTTTTTGTTTTTTCTTCTCTTTGGTCATTTCCTTCCTTCCCAAAGTCATCGTTTAAACTTCAACAGGATGTGGTGGGTTGAGGTAGTATTGCAGAGTTGAAAGTTTTCAGTCTTGTAGAACAAATCGTTTCCTAGAACCTGCTTTGCCATGTGTGAATTGTTTGTTTGAATTTTCATTTTGTAGGTATTGACCACCTTTTGGCACAGCATATTGCACACTTGTTCATTCGAGACCCATTGACTTTGTTTGAGGAGAAAATACATCTAGATGATGCAAATGAATCCGACCATTTTGAGGTTGTGTCTGATTTAGAGGAATTTAATAAATATATACATAAAAATGCTTATTCTTTATAGAACTGCTTCATTGGAGGATGGCTATATTAGCTAAGACTTTTTTTCCCTGAACTCTTCACTTCAAGTAGTTCTTTAGCATCTTTGCAGTTATAAGCACATTTATTTCTTTGGTTTATCATTTGTTTGGGAGAAGGTGGTGGCTTATACTTTAAACCAAATAAAATATGAAGGCCCCAAATTATAACTGTGCATATAAGTGTTATGGGGAACCATCTATTTTTATGGCTTCCTAAAAACTGTTTTGTATGGCATTTACATATAAAGTCTCTCTGACACAGCTTTATGAAATAACAGCTGTGGTAATATTAGGTATTTTTAGTTTGGGGTGCATCAACCCTTCATTAAAAAAAAGTCAGCTAAATCTCAGCCCCCTAGTATCTTACACATGATCCTCAAACAAAAGAGCATAAGAAAGCGTATTTGCGTCTAGGATGGGTAGTTATACTGTTGTTTATAGGAAGTCATGCCACTTAGTTTGGAAGCGCTTCTTTAACTTCATAGGCTGTTCCAGGGAAAATATTACAACTTTAGTTATCTGCTTTTATTTATTTATTTATTATAGAATGATGCATATCTTGATTGTGACAGATCATTTCATGTGCTTTGCAGAATATTCAATCTACAAACTGGCAGACAATGAGGTTTAAGCCACCTCCTCCAAACTCAGATATTGGATGGAGAGTGGAATTCAGACCTATGGAGGTAAGGAAGGCATCTGTATGCACAAAACTTTTCTTTTAAGTGGAAAAGTACCAGGCATTCTGCCATCCAGTATCGAGCCCTTATTACTTATGCTGTGTTTTCTCCCCTCTGAATTGCTAGATGCAAGTGAAGTGGACAGCAGTGTTTAATCAGACATGGACTGTGGGAATGTAACTGACAGGAGAATCCACTGCCGCACAGCAAAGCATGCTAATGGATTTAGGCGGATGGGGAAAGGAATTAGGCTTGTATTAAAGCAACAGTAAATAAAGCCCCATTTAGCTTCTAAGGACTGTATTTCTGCAGTACTTTTCCTGGTGCTGAACAATTCCACTGTCATTGTTTTGTTTTTTACAAGTTACTTTATAGCTGTCTATTTCTGAGCTCTCTGAATTTAATCCCTTTAAAGTGGGAATTTAAAAACTATTATACATTTGTAATTACACAGAGAGCCTGAAGGCACAGGTTATTAGATACTTTTGAAACACAAGTGTGTTTTGGCATTGGATTAAAGGGTTGAGTTTGAAGTGTGTGCATGTGTTGTGCATTTGAAGTCACTGCTGATGATTCCAGCTCGTGCATCGCCATCTCTGCTAGTAGAACATGTGTAAATACAAGTACCAACGGGAATGTGCAAATCAAACTGTTTTAAACTCTCCCAGATATTTATCTACGTACCATGAGTGTGTTACCACTAAAGTAGTTTAATCCTTTCATGTCTAGGTCCAGTTAACAGACTTCGAAAACTCTGCATATGTTGTGTTTGTCGTATTGCTAACCAGAGTGATTCTGTCATACAAACTGGATTTTCTCATTCCTTTGTCTAAGGTAGGTGTGAAAGACCAGATCTATTGGAGCTAAATGCAATGTAGTGGCATCAAGACTGATTTTTATCCTCTGCAAGCTAGGAACTAATATTCGTACACTTACAGAACAGCCATTTCTCTCTTTCGGTCAGTTTTCATCTGTACCAGTCTTTTGAATCAATTTCATCTCTACAGTATTAAACAAATATTTTACTGCTGTGTCATGTCATTAAGCTTATAGATAAATACTGTGGGAATTTCTGTGGTGCCTAATAGTGTCTGACTGCTGCAGAAATTTTGAGAAATACCATTGTCACAAGGCTGTTTTGAAACTGGGAAAGGGCGTGTTTCCCCCATTTTACATGTAGGGACAATAACTTGTGCATGTCAAAATAAAAACTTTAGATATTTATTTTAACACCGCTGTTGCCTATGTCTCATATTCTTACTCTCTATCATGTTTGTATCCGGTGGAGAGGGAAAGGAGTGGAAGGTGTCCCTGCCTGTGGCAGGGGGGTTGGAACTAGGAGATCTTTAGGATCACTTCCAACTCTAAGCACTCTATGATTCTATGCGTAGTGTGAGACAGCATTTGAGTGAAAACAAATACTGCTGATTCCAGTCATGACTGTGACTTGTGTTTGGACAGACCAGCCATGCAAAATGTGCTTTTTTCCTTAACCTCGTCCTCACAATTGTTGAACTGTTTGGGGTGAAACTGTCCCTGCATGTCTTCTTTCTGAGACATCTGACCAGAAAATGTCTTTTTAAATGGATGGTCCTGCAGTGTTATAGGTAACTTTAGATTAGGTCTTGTAGTTCAGAAGGCTTCTGATGGACTGTATTCTAGAAAATACTGCCAGCACTGGCTATAGCATAGCAGTAGTATCCTGTGGCTTTTCTTAGTGCTTTTAACAAAAATAGAGAAAAATACTGAAGTTGTCAATTAACTGTAATCGTGCCATACAGTTGGTATGATCTCTGAAAAGAGAAATTCTCTTCCTGGTGTCAGGGAGTTCCGACTTCATAAATAATGTGGCGATTTAGCACTGACATTGTATAATTCCATTGTTATTTGGAATGTCTCAAAAGCGCAAAATTTTTAGCTAATGAATTCCAGTTCAGACTGAAAAAGAGATCAGGTGCTGAAAGAACCTGAACAGAGTTGGGGGGGCTAGAGGGGCATAAAATTGTTTGAGCTTGCCAAGCAATTTGGCAGGTAATGCAACGCAGAATTGCACAACCATTGGTAAGCCTGCCTCTTTCATGTAAAATAATACGGGGTTATGGGGCTAATCTCACACTAATCTTTGCTGTCTGATTTGAGTGCGGTTGTACTCCCGTCAGCTAGGACTGGAGTTCTTTCGAACTTTCAAAACAGCCTGTTGGGTAAATAGGTTTCATAATATAAAATGAACGAAAACAGATTTTTGAAAGCAAAGCTTCGAAAGGTAAGAAGTAAGTGAATATTCTGCATTGGCTTTAATTAAAGGTCAAACAAAGAATTCGGGAAATCATATCCCTTCTTCTGAAGACAATACAGTAAATCTAATGTCCGAAAGCTCTGTGATGTTAATTCCCTGAGAACATACGCACCAAAGAACTTGGGTGAAATCATCTGTCCAAAAAGACACAGCGATGCTTATGTCATTTGCAGAGCATATGAGCAGTGATTTGTAGTTTGTAGACTTTTTGAGAAGCCTGCAATTTAAAACATCTTTACTAGCAGTCTAAGTTTATCTAACTCTCTAGCAGGTGTTCGGGTGTGGAATAGATACAATTCCCATACGAAGTTACTGGAATTCTGTTTCTGAAAGTGCATTTAATACAGTAATAACTCTTTTAAAGACTTCAGTGATTCTGTTAATAAAAGCGACAAACTACAGCTAGGGAAATGGCAACTTTCTTCTTATGTACTCATTTAAATTGCATCTAAATATGCAAAGAAGTCTCCCAGGTGGGATGCAGCCTGTTAATCACAGCTGTTCCTGTGTTTTCATCCAAACTTAAAAGAGCATGTTCTAAGATAATACCGTTGCCTTTTCTGCTGGAGACAATTTCATAAAACATCATCTCTTTGTGGTTTTGCCTGGGACCCCTGAAGAATGAAATAAAACTTAGGTCCACAGCTTGGCCTTGTGTGATGAAATAATAAGAAAAAATAGTAGATGTTTCAACTAATAAGACCAAAATATGATGGTTTGGGAGAATTTTCTAAAATGTCACAAATCTCTGAAATACTTCTTTTGCCAGGTGGATGAAAACATGAAGGTGGCCCAGAAAAGAGATGCTGTCCGTCAGGGAATGTTTTACTTCAGAAAAGATATTTGCAAAGGTATCACAACAAGAAATCTGATTAACGCTGTTGTGGGTGTTTAGTGCATCTCTTGCTTTCTAACCGTTTCTTCCTTTCCCTTTGTCACCAATGAAGGTGGAAATGCTGTTGTGGATGGATGTGGCTCTGCACAGAACGGGACAGGCACTGATGCAGAAGAGTACACCTTAATGAGCATTGATACAATTATCAATGGGAAGGTCATAGCCTCTTCTACCTGGAACACACAACTTTCCCCTCCATTCCGCCCTCCCAGAAACCAGATCGAGCGTGTTTTATGCTGACTCTGTTCTCTTACACAGGAAGGAGTCTTTCCTGGTTTGATCCCTATTTTGAATTCCTATCTTGAAAACATGGAAGTGGATGTGGACACAAGGTGCACCATCCTAAACTACCTGAAGTTAATAAAAAAGAGAGCATCTGGTACGTTTGACACTTTTGGACGTTGATTTTCTTGGCATTTTTCTACTTAGTAATTGAGCTGTTCTCTAGTTTTCAGTTGGGTAAAACTTGGTGGCAGCTGTGGCTGGCTGGTTAAGTGTTGAATCGTAGGAGCAAAGGACTGGAGTGTGTTCTCTGGCTTAAATCTGGTTGTCTAATTCTGATTATAAATGTTTCATGATCCATTTTAGAACTTAAATTAGGAGCAATTGATACAGTTATACTGTTCTCCAAGCTGTAATTGTATCTCCAATCCAAGATTTCTATTTTCAGCACCACTTACTGCTACTTTTGCCAGTGTTTTGTCCACTTTGTAGTAGTTTGCACATATACTAATCCCCTTGCCTGTCACTTGAGCATTGTAAGAGTATGGGAGGCTGGATCTGATTCCCTGGTGTTACTGGTGTGACTCCAAAGGACTGATAAGACTAAATTCTGGTATGCTAGAGTACGGGACCTAGTCTTTAGCTCCCTGATAAGAAAGCCCTTCTGTAAGTAGCTGAACTCCTCCAAGGCAGAGCAAACCAGGCTCTTCCCCTGTCTTCCCCATGTTGCAGTGTTTTTGAAGACGGGTGTTATAATGACTCTTTTATGCTCCTTTTTAAACTGCAGCAGTATAATGAGTAAAAGATGCAGGCTAAACTTTAATTCAGAACTGGGTGCATAGCACAGTCTGCAGCAGCTTTGTACCTTTCTATGTGCAAATTCCTTGTATGCCTGCCCTGCTGTAAATGTAGCTAGACAGTTAATCTTAGTCTCATAGGTCAAGACACTTTTTTTCTTCTCCCCAGTTTTAAACTAAAGTGTTGCATTCCTTCTTAATTCTTGAAAACTGCTGTAGAAGCTTCTATGTAAAGCCCTTTTTAAAGCTGAGGTGGAAATAGGGACTTCCTCTTGCCTGGTAATTTAGTACTTCAGCAGTACTTCTGAATGGTAACAAGTTTTAATTAATTACATCTTTCACTGTAAATGTTCTTTCCTAAGGCTGCTTGTTTGTAGGAGGCTTCTGTCCCTCAGGTAATGTAGACAGGAATTTGATGCTTGGCTTAACTGAGGGAGGGAAGAGAAGCTGGCAGGAAGAAAACGTCTGAGGCACATCAGCCCTCAAAATAGCAATACTTTCAAAATATTCCATCGTTTGTTGTTGGGTTCGTTTTTTCCTTTCAGAAAAATGCTGTTGAAAAAACAAGGAATACCTAAATCAGAGGGGTTTTTTTGAAGAGCTAATGACCTGGGCTCGATACCCTGTGGCAGCTGTTGCCCTTCCAAAGAATCGTAGAATTATAGAATGGTTTGGGTTGGAAGGGACCTTAAAGATCATCTAGTTCCAGCCCCCTTGCCATGGGCAGGGGATACCTCCCACTAGACCAGGTTGCTCAAAGCCCCATCCAGCCTGGCCTTGAACACCTCCAGGGATGGGGCATCCACAACTTCCCTGGGCAACCTGTTCCAGTGCCTTACCATCCTTGTAGTGAAAAATTTCTTCCTGATATCTAACCTAAATCTCCCCTCTTCCAGTTTGAAGCCATTCCCCCTCGTCCTATCTCTACAAGCCCTTGTAAAAAGGCCCTCTCCAGCTTTCAGATACTGGAAAGCTGCTGTAAGATCTCCCTGGAGTCTTCTCTTCTCCAGGCTAAACAACCCCAACTCTCTCAGCCTGTCCTCATAGGAGAGATGCTCCAGCCCTCTGATCATCTTCATGGTCCTCCTCTGGATCCGCTCCAACAGGTCCATGTCTTTCCTATGTTGGGGGCTCCAGAGCTGGAGGCAGTAGACAAAGAACAGCTTTGCTACCTGGTGCAAAATTGCAGGCATTGCAAAAGTCAGCTTGTGTATTTACACAGACCTAAAAGGTGTGGGAGTGATGTAGATAAGAATCTAGGGTTTATATCTTAACTCCATTGAACTGAAATGATTTTTAAATGATGATTCACAAGAACTAAATTCACAGAATTAAATGCATTAGGTATTGTATTACTGTGCCATGATGTTTCTCAGTTGTGAGCTTTGAATTATTCCTGTTTACTCTCAATCTTAAATGTTCCTCAACTGCAGCCTGTCTAGCATGAGAATGGCTATTTTTCAGATTTCTCTCCTCAACTGGTGAGCACAGAGCACTCATGAGAGTTAAACACTGGCACTGTGGCTGCTGTGGCTTTAACCTTGCCCTGACATAGTTCATCTGTGATTCAGTCGCATCTTGTCTCGCAGCACAGCTAGGTATTGCCCTCCTGGTCTCCATCTAGCTACGGTGTGACTGCCACCGCTCAGTGAGACTACAGGTTTGCTAGGAAGGCAGCAGCTGCTGACCACCACCAAATATTAATGAAAGCGGCATTAAGATAGCAGCATCAAGTGGTCCTTGTCCTGGTGTCCTGTCCTGGTTCCTGGTGGTCTGCAGTGTAGGTGCTTTCTCGGCTGAAGGTGGTGCAGTAATCATGGTGCTTAATGACCATTCACAAACATTATTTCCGTAATTGTTGCCTTACCCTTCTTGAAGCAGTTACACTTGTGGTCCTCATAAAGTCATTTAATAAGAAATGCCACAGTTCTTTTATATGCTCTATGAAAAACTTAATTCCTGTAGTTTTGCATGTTTAAATGTTCTTCCCAGTTATTTCATTATATGCCTTCTAGTTCCTGCATTGTAGGATAATGTTTCTCTACTCACTTCTCATCAGCATTCATGATTTTGCAAACTTCTCAGGTACATTGTTGCTTCCAAACTTGCAATTCCCTTTGTCTTGTCTCTGCTCGCTTGGAAGTTCTCACACCTTTTGTCAGTCTGTGGTGCCTTTTCCCGTTGCTTGTATGTTCTTTGAGAGCTGCACGCTGTGTTCACGATGAAGGTGGTGCAGATTTACACCGGTACAAAGGATGGGGTGTGATTGGGCTGCCTGACCACTAGGTGTCTGTGTTGGTGTTAACTGGACTGCTCTTCCATCTCCTCCTGCACTGGTGCAGTGGCTTTCACTCCAAAAATGTCTCTTTATGCTCAGCTCTACTCATTTCCCGGTCCCACCAATTTTCTTGCAGGCCCCCTGCTTCTCGTTGGTTTGAGAAAGTTTTCGTGTGAGTTTTTAGTGCCTTCAACAAATAATGCTTCTTAGGTATTTTTTTTTTCTGCCTTCTTTTTGTATAGAAGTGTAAACTCTGGCCTCTTTTCTTTAAAACATCACTTGTGGTTTTTGAGGGACATTTTTGTTTCTAATAACCTTTTTTTATTCTGCCTTTTTTTCCTGTATTTTTTGCAATTTTTCTGATTTGTGTTCATGTATTGCTTTTCAAAAGCACTGGTCTATAAACTGCCTTGGATGCTTTTTACTTTTTATTTGTGTGTTCCTCTGTGCTTTCCCTAACTTGATTCCTCTTGCTTTTTATAATACTCTTAAACCAAAGATTTTTGTAGTGAAAGCCCTTGACTCTTTCCACTCTTACAAGGACACTGAGGTTCCAGTAGCTAGCAATGAAAGTTTTTCTAGGCTCTTCGAGCATCCCATCAGCCTACCTTAATGTCTTACTGTCAGAGTTACCTTAAACTTGTACTAGTTAAGGTTTGCTTGCATATGCTGCATTCAGGAGCAAGATTCAGTAACCTAAACACTGTCCAGCTGGCCTCCAGCTCCTACTTTATAGGGATGCAGGTGGTCTTCAAGTGGTGTGTGCCATTTGATGACCCCGTATGGAAGTGTTGGGGGCCCTTAGGCACCTGCTGACTGCCCTGTGGACAGCATGGTGACGCAGAGGCAGTGTGTCAAACCAGGAGTTGGTATAATCAGGAACTTGGCTATTTTCTGCTAGGGGAGCTGCCAGAGGGAGAAAGAATAATTAGTCAAGGTAGGCAGAACAAAGCTAGCAGCTGAGTTGGATGGATCGACTACAACATTGTTATATATATGTGTAGTTGTTGTAGAGGTGTCTATTGGTTCATCTCAGCCCGATTCTCTGTTAAATGACATGTTTAAGGCCTTTTGCTATACAACCTGTTGGTGACCTGTTTGCTATACAACCTGTTCCAGTAGCGACATCTCTCTGCACTGTCTCATTACAACACCTGAAAGTTTGGGCGAATGGGTTTTAGACTCTATGTCAGCTTACTTATGCCTGCAGTTTAGCCATATTTAAAAATATATATATACATGCAGGAATGTTTCTCATGAAAGCGTGGACTATTCATTAATTGTGTATATAATGCATAGAACTTTAGGTGTCGTACTGCTAAATTAGATGTATAAACTGTGAAATCTGACTTCCCCTTGCCCACAGGAGAATTAATGACAGTTGCTCGATGGATGAGGGAATTTATCGCACAGCATCCAGACTACAAGCAAGATAGCGTGATAACTGATGAAATGAATTATAGCCTTATTTGGAAATGCAACCAAATCGCACAAGGCCAGGCAGAGTGTCCTGAACTATTAGGGGTAGGATTTAATAAGAAACAAAGTGGAAACAAAACTGGCTCTTTGTAATGAATGAATGTTTTTTAAATAATATAAAGTTTAAGCCTTTTAGCAAAGCACTAGCAAAGATACTGTGAATCTGGTACAGTTTCATGGTGTGAAGACCAAAACAGGGATACTGCACTATAAAATGGGCCAATCTGCCTAAATATTTGTTTAAGGCATCCTAAAGTGGGCATATTCTTATTGTTAAGGTTTATACAATGTACATGTAAATAGTAAAATATTTTTATGATTAACATCAATGTATTTTAATAACATTGTATCTAAAGTTATTGTGAATTAGCTTGTAACTTTTTTATGCTTATTCTAGAAAGAAAAATTGTCCTGAACAGCTTTGTAAATGTAATGGTACTTGTATATTATACGCATTCCAGTTACTGAATGTTTACTGTAATTTTTTTAACCTGGAATGTGCTAAGTAATCTACCTTATTGTGTAAAAAAAAAAAAAAAAAAAAAAAATTCTGGACCTACCTGAATTGCAGATACTTCTTCCTTCCACTTGGGTTTTGAAAGTATGTAAGAACAGATAAATGCATGTGCATCCCATTTGTTAATCTTTACAGTGGTTTCTCAGTTGCTACAAGACTTGCATCCACTCATAAACTGTAAAACTGAGACGAACGAATCTGTCTTTATTCAGATAACACAAGTCTGCCTGTCTGCAGAAGCACCGTTATTTTTTTTCCCCTCTGAAGTAAATTTGTATGCTAGCGCAGTTCAGAAATTTACCCAATGATTTAATAAAGCAGTAACGGGGGAGACATGGTGAAAAAGAGGAAGAAATGAGAGCTGAACATAAAACTACTTACAAAGGAATCAGAGAGTCCTGCTCTGGACTTCGTTCTGTAACTGCTCTTTCTCCCACATCGCTGCTGTTTCCACAGTCGACAATGACTGCAGCACAAAACCAAACACCTGTCTCCATTCTTCCTAAAGGTTGAGTTTCTTATTTATCATTCATTATTATAAATATTTTTGTCAGCATGTTTGTTTCCTATAAGGTAATTTATGTAGATAGCTGAGGTACCTACATAGCTGTAGGTATGGATAACTTAATCCCCTCTAGAAAATAGTTATAAAGAAATCATGGAATGCACTAATCCTTTGAATTGGGAGCCAGTGCTGGGAGTGACTGTAAAGTATTTAAAATTTAGCCATTGCAACTTGTAAATAAAGCAAACTTAAGGGGCCTTCTTGATTTAACTTCCTAACTGACTTCTAGAAGTGAATTGCGTTCTGGGTAGATTATGTAAAGTTTAATGAAAGCATATATAAATACCTAAGGTGTAATGATTTTTTTTTAAAAAGAACTAATGGAGAAACTGCAATGAAGAGGTGCACTAAGAAGAAGCTTTTATGTACTGGTATTAGACTTTATTCTGTGTTCACAGGTGTGCTTTAGAGAATAAAAAGAATGCTTTTTTTTTTTTCTGCGGTGGTGAATTTGTTTTAATGAAGATGTAGGCATATGCTAATTTAGTTTCTGTAATAAGGAAATAAAAATAAAATTTGCAGTACGTGTTGGTCACTTGCATGACTTAAACCCACGTTTTCCGATGCGGAAAAGGAGACATTGTGTACCTGGCAAGTACAGCTCGTCTCACCCAGACTCGCTTTGTTTATGGTGAAACTTCTCAGGGCTAATGGCAAATGGTCTGCCACCCCTGCAACAGAGAAGTCCTTGCCATTCTCATGGTAGCATCTGTCTGACTGCACAGCACCAGGTGCTACACTTGGAAGACCCCTAAAAAAAGTTAGAATGCTTTCCTGCTGGTACTGCATCAACACATGTCCTTATCCCCTTTTCAGTTGACATTATTACCCTTCTGGCCTAGTAGGTGGCTACTGTCCTGTAAGTGAGAGCAAATTTTGTCACGATGCCTAAAAGCTGTGACTGGAAGTTGCCCTCATGAGTTTTCATATGCATCTTTTCAGAAAGGATGAGAAAGATCAAACACAAAGCTGCTGCTTGTTTGTTGAGGTGGCCAGGGTTGTGGTATCTAAGCAGCTTACTGTCCCTGGATGAAGAGTTAAGGTACGTGTGGCACGGTGAAGGTCCTTGCAGGGCAAACCAGAGTTGCTGCAGGGAGGGGCAAGCTTTGCCACTAGTTTTGAATGTACCTTGGAGGTCGCTGTGTGGTATCTGCACCCACCCCCGGGTGGTGAAGCAAGTCCTAGGCTAAGCCTCAAGTTCTGGCTGACCTTTTGCAGAGAGCATGAGAAACTCCCTTGGGCTAGGAATTTGGGATTTTTGGTCCTGCAGTCAAATAATGACCTCTCTGACAGCCACCTGACCAAAGGGAGGGGAAGAAGCACCAAGCACCTGAAGTGACAGGTGACCGATTGCTTGCCCAAAGACTTCAGTAGTGTGTCTGTCATGGCACTTCCCGTGATCACAGATGTTCTGGTTTACCAAAATACCCCAGTAATTTGCTTCATGCCTTCCACTTAGTTTCCAGCTGGAAGGTCCTGTTGTGATTTCCAGAAGTCTTAATGCTTTAAACAGTAGACTGGTGCCCAGTTTCCTCTTGAGAGTCAAACTACTTGAGTACTGGTGTCTGTTGCTGGATTATTTTAGCTATGCTTTTGTCATGGCTTAAATCTTCAAAATGTGGCTCCTCCTGCGTGCACACAGAGCTCTGCAAGCAGTTTGCCTTTCTGGGAGTGGAGCGGCAAGAACTTTGTACGATCCTTTGGTCCTGCAGAGGACCTGGACCTGACCTCTGTGAAAAGAGTGTCCTGCACTGAGGTTTCTTGAAAGGTGACCTCATCTTTTGTTTGCAGTCATTTTGTTTAAGATTTTTAAGTGGATAATATTTGCTGTGCCGATAGGGTTTTGTAGTGAATTTGAGAGACCTCCTGCTACATGGGAAGCTGGTCACGGGAGCGGTGGCGGTTGAGGTTATTTCAGCAGGAAAGGGTTGCTGCCATCCTTTCGCAAGAGCCGGGCCCATCCTTCTTGCTGCCTCCTAAGGATGAACAGAAAGACAAATGCATGCAAAGATACACTGGTTGGGATGTTCTCTACTCCAGGAGAGCAGACGAGGGGACGGAAATGGAAGAGTTCCTCATGCTGCAGTGGGTATCGGAAGATGGCTGGTGACTGCAATGCTGAGCAGTGCAAGAACCTGTGCTTTGCAAGAGAATAAAAGCAAGAATGCGCCATTTGAGCGTGACAGCAGAAACCGGGGGTCTCCCAAGGCCTGAAAGAAGTCATTGGAATTTTCTTGAAGCCACTCTGGGGAGAAACAGCATTTGGAAACAGTGATCTTTGCGATGAGCGTACTGGTACACTGACGGAGGAGGTGAGCAGGTGGCAGAGTCGCAAGTTTTGTGACTCTGTCCTGTGACCCCAACCAAACCTGTCCCCTCTGCCTCGCTGGACTTGCTGTAACCGCTTCGTTGTGCCCCTTGGCCGAAGGGCACCAGAGTGTGCACGTTGGCGAGAGCTTTACAGGAATGAGATCTCGTTTAAATTAAAGGCAATCTCATCCGCAACGTCTCCTACCTGCAATTCTGAAACACACACACTGAGAGGAGTCAAGTTTAGTAGTGGAACATGACGTTATGGGGCACCCCGTGGGTCAGCTGGTGTCAGCTGTCCCGGCTGTGTCCCCTCTTGCCCACCCCCAGCCGACTCGCTGCGGGGGACAGAGTGGGAAAGAGCCACAGCCCCGCTGGGTTGTCAGTCCTGTTTTAGCCACAGGTGCAGAGCAGATCTGCTGCAGGGATGGGGAAGGCCACCTCAGCCAGTGGCAGTTCTCCATAGCCAGGTGGCTTTACAGTTCATCCTTCTGCAGCCTGCATGGTGTCACTGTAAGAAGGTAGGATATTGGGTTTCCCCCCCTCTGATTATGTGTGCTTAATATTTTCTCTATCGGGATTCACGGAGCTATAAATTTATGAATTGAATTGCGGTGTCCTCAGTGTACCGAGGTGGGAGCGGATGTATTCCCCTGGGACGGTCACCTCCAGCATCCCCCACTCCTCAGGTGAGGGGAGAGTGGCACTTAGCCTTCTTTTATGTAAAACACCATATAATCAAAATATTGTACTGACACCAAAGAAGCGGAAACCCCCCACAGCATCATGAGATAGCAAAATGCTTTCCAAATTCTACAGAAGAAATCAGGAAAGAGGAAGAGGCAACGAAGCAAAGGAAAATAAAGAGGCTCATTTAAGGTTATACAGTACCAAAAAAAGTGAAAATGCCTCTGGGAACCCTCCTGAAAATCTTGTCCTTTCCAGAAACGTGCTGGAACCCCAGGCTGACACTGGGGGAGGAGGATTCAGTACTGGATGGGACTGGCTTCAGAGGGTACAAGGAGAGCCATGGCTGCTTAAAGCCTAGGCAGATCTGGAGCCCCAGGGGCTGTGCATGGCAAATTCAGAGCAGTAATCTCCAATAAAAGCATCAGACCTAAGGATTTCTCTGGTTTTGATCCAACCTGTCCTCCTTTTTTGTGCAGTGCTCCACATATGTATGTACAACTGCAATGGGAATTCCCATCGCTTTTTTCCATCGCTTCATTTAGCAAAAATTGGAAGTGTTAACTGTATTTTCTTTTCAAGGCCACAACATTTCCTGTGTGTACTGGATAAAACAACTTGGTGACTCTCAAATCCTTGCGATTGCCACAGCGTTACTTTTACTGCTGGGGGCAGGTATCGAGATCTCTCCGGGCTGCGCCCTTGGTGCCTCTTGGTGGCGGTTCCCGCGGCCCTGGAGCAAAGCCCTGGCGGTGGCGGCAGCAGAGCTCGTACCTCTCCCTGCTGCTGGTGCTAAAACCCATGGAGCTCTGCTCCACTGTGCTCTTCCCCAGCATCTGGAAGTTTAACGTGACCCATGATGTTTGTCATCAAGCTGCGATGTCCCAAGCCCCTGGTCCCAGAGCAGGTCTGTTCGTGCAAAGAGAGTTGGGACGAGCACTGCTGTGGGCTCCTGCAGATGCCTGTGTATCATTTTGGGTGAGATTCCCTCAGGGCCATGGTGTCACCAGCCACAGCCGAGATGCTGCTCGCTGCGCTTTACACACACTCCTCCTTTTCCAGATACCGCTATGATTTGGTGGCAGCACAGCCCAACTTCTCCAAATGCAGCTAGCAACATTTCCCAGCCAAGTCCTGAGAACTGGCTTCCCATATGGTTTCCCTAATAAACAAACAATGAAATTGCACAGGAAAAATATGTTTCATTTAGAAATCTGCAATTTGTTCATACTGTTTATTAGAAAATCAATTAAAGCTACTGCAAATTTCCTCCTTTTCTGCGACATATATTTGCATGCAATATAATGTTTGCACTGCTGTGCCTTAGTGAACTTAGCTCCTCTCTTCTTGTGGGCAATTTCTTGGTTTCTTTAAGGTGGCCACTCTATTTAATGTTTATCCCTGGGGATCTTCTGAGCTTGAGAACAGCAGCAGGTACG